AAAACTTGACTATTGTGAATAGTGTTGCGATGGACATGGGAGTGAAGATATCCCTTCAACATACCAATTTCAATTCTTTTGGATGTATACCCAGAAGTATGATTACTGAATCAATAGATTGCTGGATCTATTTTTATTTTGAAGGGAATCTATGTACTATTTTCCACAATGGCTGCAGCTAATTTATATTTTGCCAACAGTGTCCAAGACTTTCCACAGCCTTATCAATGCTTGTAGTTCTTTTTGATAAAAGTCATTCTAACAAGTGTGAGGTAATACTTCATTGTGGTTTGAATTTACATTTTTCTTATTCACTATTCACTCCTTCATTCATTGCAACTTTGCAAAATTCACCAGGGAAATCTTTATCATTTGGCACCATGGACACAACTCACTATTTATCTTACAGTGCCTCTCACTTTGATTTACTTGGCTTGTCGACTACTTATCTTTCTTGGTGCCCTACTGCCTAGGTGTCCATGATATATTGCCACCTCTCTCAATCTTTCCAGGTTGGTCTCCTCTGTGGATTTTCCTCTCTTTGCCCATGTTGATGATCTGAAGTTCCGCTCCTAGAGTTGCTGCTCATGTTATTCTATGCACTTTCCCTGGCCTGTCTTCTCCCTACTTGGGCTAACTACTATCTCTATATATTTGTCAGAGTGATCTTTTGAAAATGTGAGTTTGAACTTATTTCTCTGCTGCTTAATTTCATCACATTCATTCCTTGCTAACTATAGGAAAGGCTGAAATTCCTTAATAGGACTTATAAGGTCCTCCTTGCTCTTGAAGCAAGCTGTTCTTTTTTTTTTTTTTTTTTTTCTATGAATGTTTGTTCAGTGAGTGAATGGATGACTCACAAATCCATGGCTCTGGTCCTGAACTTTTCCTTGAATTTTAAATTTGCAGACCCAGAGGTTGCCAGACAGCTCCAGTTGGATGTTTTACAGACCCCCTCAAACTCACAATACTCCAAACTGAATTCATCTCAGCCCCACCTGCTCCTTTTTCTATATTATCCAAGTTGCTATTTGTTCATTTCCTATATTCGATGTGTCATACTGATTTACCTCCCATATGCTCCTCAATTTGCTCCCATCTTTCAGCACCATAATTTATGTCCTTGTCTTTTTTTTCACCCAAACTATTGGGATAGTCCCCAGCTGACTTGTTTTAATTCCAGTCTTGCCTTACCCCGACTTCACATTCTCCATGCTATCATCAAAGGAATCTATCTGAAGAACTTTAAATTTCCTCTTTCAGCAGCCTCTTATCTCTCGAATAAAATGCAAGCTTCATTGCACGACATAAAAGTCATCTACAATCTGACTCTTCTCCATAAATCCAAACTTACCTATTTTCTGTCTCAAAGCCCAATAACACACAATGTCTTGTGATTATCTGGACATACCATACTGTTTCACAGGTTGGAACATTTGCTCATGTTATTCCCTGTTCTGGGCCTGACTTCTACCTCTTCTTCATCCATTGAACTGGATACAATCTTGTCCTGCAAGATTTGTATTGGGAGCTGCACCTTTACCAGGAGACCTTCTCTGATCATCTAGATATGAGTAGGTGTTCACATTTATTATGTTCCAGAAGACAGAATGCCTAAGTGGTTGATGTTCAAACTGTTTAAGTGCTTAGCCCAGAATCACAGCTTACCAGCTATACAACTTTGGGCAAGTTACATAATTAATCTCTTTCTGCTTCAGAAAGTACTCAATAAATGTTAGCTACCACAATTATAATATTGTCACTAGTAGACTTGCTTTCCAGTGTAAGTGTACAGCCCACCTCAGGTACCAGGAATCTCTGAGAAGAGTTTAGAAGGACTTTACTCTTCCAGATTGGTTACTATCTTCAAAGGCAACAAAGAAGTATGAATGAAGAAGCAATGTGAATTACTCTTCTCATTCTTGCAACCACCTTCTTAGCTAAGTTTTCTGAGGACAGGGGGGAGGTGGGGATATGGACTCATTCTTCCCTCCTTTTTACATTATTTTCCTGCAGTGTGTTTATCCATGGGGAGAGCTAGTGATGTCATATATTTATGTGACCTGAAATATTACTCACCCTATATAACATCATTATTTGGGCTTTTAATTCAAAATGACCAGAGGAATGAGTTAAAACACAGAATTAATCTATGCCAAGACCAAAGACTTTAAAAATATCTATATGACAGTGATATAAATTTGATTTGTTTTAGGAATTTAATTTGAGGTGATATTTTTTTTCCTGAAATGTCTTTCATCTTCTGTGTTTCAAATTCTCCACAAAATAAATTCTTCAGTAAAAATTACTGAAAGAATCTGAGGTTTTATGTACAAGCCATAAGAAAGCCAGAACCATTGGCAACTGGCCTCAGAAACTAAAACACCCATTCTGTCATTGTATCCTGCCCGCGCCACTATAAAATTAGTGTACAGAGAGTATTTTCCAGATCCTTTTTCTTTTTTTTTTTTTTTTCAGATCAGTTTTAATGACCCAAATTATAAGATTTGGATAACTTTCTTTGGCTACTCTTTTCAGAATATAGTTGACTTCACCATTAGGCAACATCTCCTGATATTTAAACTAATTGTTCTGTTTTGTCAGCTCCATCTCACTTTTCTGGGTCACACTGTACTGATTTAGTTCTAACTAGATATTTGAACTCTTAAGTTTGAAAACTCCTCAATCTAGAAACACTCTTGTTTTAAGTCTGATGGTACTATGTTAAATCATGACAGTTTGACATGTTTGGGAATGGGCAGTGTTGGATAGCTGACTCTTTTAGTATAAATCTTTCTGCATTTGTATGTTTATGTCAAATAGTTTATGTAACAGTCATTCTAGAGTGTGGTAGGTACATGCTACCCTAACTCATTTTTTTAATTGTAATCAAATTCACATAACACAGAATTAACTATGTTAAAGTGTACAATTCAGTGGCATTCAATACATTCATGCTGCTGCACAATCATCACCTGTATCTAGTTCCAAAACATACTCACCACTCCCAAAGGAAATCCACTCTCCATTAGCCAGTCATGGCCATTCTCCTCTCCCCTCTGTCCCTGGCAACCTCTAATCTGCTTTCTGTTTGTTTGGGCTTACCTGTTCTGGATATTTCATACTGCTCTAACATTATCACCGCAAACAATACAAATGCCTTATTTTTGGTTAGTGCTATGCATATTTCTAGGATTTTCCTGTGGATCACCTCATTCTTTATGAATAGTTGAGATATTACTATCACTAGATAAATCCAGGTTGTTATCATTATTATTAATTTTTGAGATGAAGTCTTACTCTGTCGCCAGGCTGGAGTGCAGTGGCGCCATCTCGACTCACTGCAACCTCCCACTCCCTGGTTCAAGCGATTCTCCTGCCTCAGCCTCCCGAGTAGCTGGAATTACAGGCATGCACCACCATGCCCAGGTAATTTTTTGTAATTTTAGTAGAGACAGGGCTTCACCTTGTTGGCCAGGATGGTCTTGATCTCCTGACCTCGTGATCTGCCTACCTCAGCCTCCCAAAGTGCTGGTATTTCAGGTGTGAGCCGCTGAACCTGGCCGATAAATCCATGTTTTAATTTTCTATTAGGAAGGTGAATTCAGATTTTATTACCTTGGTTGTTAAAGATCTGATTTCTCAAAAAATATAATTTATGCATCTACAAAAACAGAGGTCCAACCATTTTGGTTAACTAATCAGGTTAATCTGTGCCTTTCTCTGCACATTTCTGTGATCTGCAGGTGTTTGAGATTTTTAGTTGTTTGAAGATGCAGGTGTGTCTATTGATTGTACCTATGCAGCTTGACTCAACATTTCGTCAAAAGAACGTCAACTCCTTAGTATTGACTAGGTATGTAGATGCTGATTCTTCATTCTACTAAAGCTTTTTTTTTTTTTTTTTTTTTTTTTTGAGACGGAGTCTCACTCTGTCATCCAGGCTAGAGTGCAGTGGCACAAGCTCAGCTCACTGCAGCGTCCACCTCCCTGGTTCAAGCAATTCTCCTACCTCAGCCTCCTGAGTAGCTGTGACTACAGGTGTATGCCACCATGCCTGGCTAATTTTTTGTAGAGACAGGGTTTTACCATGCTGGCCAGGCTGGTCTTGAACTCCTGACCTTGTGATCCACCTGCCTCGGCCTCCCAAAGTGCTGGCATTACAGGCGTGAGCCACCACACCCGGCCCATTCTACCAAAGCTAAGTGAATCTTGGAGTAAAGATTTTTTAAAAAATTTCTATGTATTTGCTTGGAAGAATGATATGCAGATACTGCTAGTTGTCATTCTGTGCCTGGTCTCCTTTTCTATATATTATGCAACTCATGATGTTTTTGGTTGATTACAACAACCACCTTAGATATTCTATTTGCCAGCCTTCTTCCCAGCTGATTGTGGCCAATTACTAAGTTCTAACCAGTCTGGCCAATGAGATGCCTATGAAACATCCTATTCAACTTATGAAAGCATCCTTAGAGGGGAGAACATGCTCCTTTTGGGTTCCTTGTTTTTCTAGCTGGAAGGTGGACCCTATGCTTGGAGCCCCAGCAGCCATTTTGAATATGAAGCAATCTTTGGAATGGGAAGCTGGGTTCCCAGTTAGAAGGAGTCTTGATCCCTGACACCCAGAGCTACATACCATCTCTAGACTTTCATATGAGGCACGTTTTAATCCTGTATAAGTGACTACGTTGGGTTTTCTGTCACATGCAACCAAACGTAGTCTTAACTAATACGGTTCCCAATATAAGCTTATTCCACTGAAACCTTGAAATCTTTCTCTCATTCCATCTGAATTTGCCCCATTTTCTAAGGAAAGGATCTTATTATATCTTATTATACAAGAATGTTGTCATATAGTGGCACTCAATGTCCATCCATGTTTTGAAGATACTCCTATTTCCATTAAAAATCTTTATGTCTTATTATCAGTAATAGTGGTATTCATCTTATTTTCCAGAAGTAGGATCCTAGAGAAAAGAATCACACAATTTCAGAAAGACCTTAGAAGTTATCCAATATCACTGCCAATCTGAGGATGCCAAAACCTTGGCATCTTACATGAAAGCTCTGGAACTAGTACTGCTTCAAAAATTCTTCCATCTCCATTGTTATTGCTATTAAAATCATTCACAAAGTAATTAGACATCACGATAGTTTGTTTTTTAAAGTGGCATGGGTATCTCACATGGAACAAAAACTCTGAAAAAAAGAAAATGGCGTTATTTTAATGAATGCAGTGTTTAAGACTCATTGTGTTTTAAGACAAATCTTTCAAAGCACAAGGCACACATGGGAGAATTGTTGAGTTAATAGGTTGTGAACACTGATGTGGCGTCCCTCTGGACTTTTAATCACTTACGTGATTTTTGAAAGCCATTAAAAATATAGTATTAAGTAGAGGTTGGCATCTTCCTCATGCTTTCAAAGAACACAGAAGGCAAAGCTAACTGGAATGTAATGGAAGAGTAGAATGGGATTGAATGAGCGTAGTGGCTTGGGAGGCCGAGGTGGGGAGGACCCCTTGAACTCAGGAGGTGGGGACCAGCCTGGGGCAACACAGAGAGGCCCTGTCTCTACAAAAAATCAAAAACTTAGCCAGGTACAGTGGTGCATGTCTGTAGTTCCAGCTACTCAGGAGGCTGAAGCAGGAGGATCACTTGAGCCTGGGAGGTCAAAGCTGCCACCGTGGTCATGCCGCTACACTCCAGCCTGGGTGACAGAGTGAGACCCTTTCTCAAAACGAAAAAAAAAAAAAAGGAAAGAAAGCAACTGAATTGATTCCCAACGTTTCTTACTTCATCTTGGCACAAACAGTCATAAAAGCTTAGAAGAATCATACCTAGCCAAGCTACTCACTAGAAAGACAATGAAAATTATCTTCCTTTCTGATAAAAGTTTCATGTAACTACTTGACTCTGAGAATAGTTCCATATTTCATTATTCTATAAACCAACCAACTCCCTCATTTTGTTTTGTTCATGTGCATTATGAACATAATTTCCCTCCTGGCATTTTTAAGGAATATGAAAGAAAAATTTGCATTGTTTTTAGTTACTCTTGTATGTTAGGCTGATGTTTTCTGAATGTAGCACTGAGTTTGGGCTGGACTATTTAATATATTTTAAGACATACATTTATATTTGCCTGAAGGATGTATTGGGGATTTTTAGGGATCAGAGTCACATTTTGCTGGTTAGAATTAAATCTGAGCTGTTCTTCTTCATCAATTTCAAAAGCTAAACTGCCAAGTTAGCTTTATTGACACCAACCTGAGCACTAGGGATGTTGATTTAAACTATATTATAGTGATTAGAAGAAAATATGAGTTTTTGTCAAAAGGAAGAAAAATAGATGAGCAAGACAATAATGAAGGTCCTGTCTAACAAAGACCTGGAGGTAAATAAATACTAAAAGTAATTTTCATGAACAGAATGAATGGGCATTTCCAGTTCTTTTTTATCTTGTTTTCTGCCTCCAACAAAATCCATTTCAGAAGTGAGCACTAAAAGGAGTGGTAATCTTTAAGTTAGCCCACGTGTCCTACATAACAAAACACAGGCCACCAACCATCTAATGGGATTTTCCTTAATCTTTTAAGGCAAATGCATTGTAGAGAAAGATTTCAGTTACTATGCATTAGCTAAAAAAAAAAAAAAAAACCCTGGAAATTGTTGTAGCCTGCAGGAAGAGAGGACCTGGTCTCTAGTTAAGTGTTGGAGAATTCTTCTTGTATAATTAAGTGTCTTTCTTTTTTCTTCCTTCCTTTTTCCTTCTCCTTTTCTTCCTTCCCTTTTGTTTTCTCTTCCTTTCTCTCTCCCTTCTTTCCCTTTTGTTTTCCTATTACACCTTTTCCCCCGAAATTGTAACTAAATTATCCTATCAGAAATTATTTTTTTTTAAAAAAAGAAATAGATGCTGAATCTCTCTAGGCAATGTTTGGGCAATGCCATTGATCAAGCAAATCTGCTTTAGACATATGTTTTAAATTTTTGAATATTCTAGACTCCTTGTCAGGGGCAGTTTTGCCTCTGTCCCTTCCCTCATTCTCCCAGAGGACATTTGGCTATGTCTGAAGACATATAGGGTTGTCATGACGGAAATGGGGAGATGCTCCTGGCACCTGCTGAGCAGAGGCTGCTAAACATCTGCAATGCACAAAAAGGTGCCCCCGTAGCAAAAGTTATTCAGCCCCAAATGCCAATGGTGCTGAAGTAAAGAAATTGTTTCAGAGATTTCTTTATTCCTGGATCTTCATTTTAGGCACAGAAGTTACAATGTGAATTAGGAAGTTTAAATAAACATGATAGCTAGCATTGAACTCTTGCCATACTGTAGGCATTGTTCTAATACTTGTACTTCTCATAATACCTCTATGCAGTAGAAACCAGTAGCTCCATTTCACAGATGAGAAAACCGAAGAAATAAAAGTTAAGTAACTTCCCAAAGAACATGCAGGTATTAAGAATTATAGCCTTGATTCTTGATTGTTGAAGAGGCACAAAGGGGAGGGTTTTAGCAGAGTTTGTTTGAATTGCCACCTTTACTTCTGAAACTCATTGATTCATGTGAACAAAATTACCTTTTTAACCACTGTATTTGTAGAAATATTCACATTTATATACTTTGGTGTTTATGCTGAACATACAATTCTGACTACTGTTAATTAAGTGATATATAATACTGGTGGATAATTTAGTCTACAGGGAAAATAATCAATGCAAATTTTTTTCCAAACCCTGAAATAGTCGACATGAAAGATGGAAATGATTATGAATTATGAATTCTTCTCTATTGTTACAATTAATAGTTTTTATATTTACACTAAAGCCACGAGGCATTCCTACTGCTCTCATTAACTTTAAGACTTATGGGAAAAAGAAACCCTCAAGTTGGAGGGACGATTTCTTGTTTTCATCATTTCCCTCTAAGAGGCCAACAGGATTATTGCTCAGTGGTTGTGTGGGCAGCTTAGGTCATAGGGCAAGGTCCCACATAGGGAAAGGCAAGCCCATTATTTTTGGCTCAGTGTCTAAGAATATGGATCCTGAAGAGCTCAACCTAGGAAAAACATCATTCAGGGAGTTTTCAGGGAAAGCAAAGGGATGTAGGGCCTTGTTTTCAGAAAGACTGCTTTGACTGTTTTGATGTTTCTAAGTTGAGTCTATTGTATTCCTGTGTGGCTATCGTTGGGAAAAAGAAATGATGTCCATGGAGATGGAGAAGTTGGAAGAGTGGATGAGCATTGGACAAATGGATGGGATGTGAATGCCACAAAAACAAATCTGGTTGTAATTAACCCCTGAGAATTCTAGGAAGCAGCTACAGCTCTCATCAACATGAAACTGTACTAAGAGCTCTGACACCAGATTCTCCTGTTTCCTTTAAAAAAGTGAACTCACTTTCTCTGATTCTCTTTGATTCATTTCTGCTGAAAAAGACCCAGAATTTGACATAAAACAAAGATACTTGTTCCTGAATCAGCACTATGAAGCCTGAATAAATACAAAATACAGCTGATGCACTTTCTCTCAGTCACATTAAAAAAAAAAAAAGTTAAATCCAACTGATGTGCTCTTCCACCCAATGGTGTCATATTCAATCCTTAAACTAAAAGGTGAAAAATATAATTTGCAGTCCATCAGGTTTCTAAATCACAGCCCCACCACTCCACATGGATATAAAAACCGATAAAAGCCAACAACCAGAAACTATCTGCAGATGTTGAACTCCATTGTATTCAGGTTAGTCATTTCCCAACAAAGTCAGATTGTCCACATTGCTATCTGCTTCTAGCTTCCTGCCCTGCCACAGTATCTCTAAGTTCTCTCAGGAAGAGCAGTAAAGACGTCTCCCTGACACTTGGAGGGTGAGCAGAATCGCCTGAGAACCGATTATCATGAGTTTAACCTTAAGAAGGATTACAATGCACTTCACTCAGTTCATCTCTCTCTCTCCCCTTTAAATTAATTGTTAACATGTTCATGTTTCTAGTATTGGGCTTAGAAAGTGATACTCTTAAATATAGCACTTTGATATGCTGAACAGAGGCAGCCTCAAGGTCTCCCTGACCTCCTCGCCTTCCTGTCTCCGAAAGCACAGGATAAATTTGTTCTCTGAAGTTTCCTTATCTGCCAAAGGTCTGGACCCACCAAAGAAAAAAAAAAAAAAAAAAAAAAAAAAAACAATTACCTTAGTTTCTTCCCTGAGTTTCCATTAACTCATCTCCTATCACAGGAAGGAAGACTGAAATCTGTCAACACTCCTGGACAGGCTCTGTCACAAACCATTGTCCACTCTGCAGGCCCAACAGACTTTGTCCCAGGCTATTGTATGTTCTTCACACCTAGTGAATTCCCCTAAAAATTGTTTCCTGCCCCATATAAAATCACCTAAATGTCTCCATTTCCCCTTCCCTCAAGATGCAGGGTATATAAACATCTCTACCCCACGGGGTATGAGGCAATCACTCTGTGATTCCCTCTCGTGGATACTAGTAATTGGTATGCCATTTTCCCTACTAATCTGCCTATTGCCAGCTGATTTTCAGTGAACCTTTAGAGAATGGAAGGGAAGTTTTCCTTTGGCCCCTGTGCTAGGCATATTAAAATATTGCAGCAAATTCAACTAGTCCTTATTCCAGAGCTCTAAAGTCAGCTAACCTGGAGGGCATGGAGTGGTAAATACAGAACTTGAAAGAGGAAAAAGAAATCACACTAATGTATCCCATGTTCTTTAATTTAAGGAACCATTGAACAGCATGAGCTGTATTATCCTTATCATCACCTCCTTTGTAGATGTCATAGACAACTCTGTAGATAAGTTTCTTTAATCACATAAAAAGGAAATTGAACTATATTTGTGTGCTATGCATTAACCTTTTGTAAGGTTTATATATGACCCAACCCATTTTTTAAAAACAAAGGTTAACTCACCTTACAAATAAACTTTTTTCTTTTGTCTAAGATTTTCTTAAAAGTGTGAATTGATATTGAATACTATTGATATTGAATACTAAGATATTGAATACTATTGAGTGCTTAGAACAGTAATGCCATTGTGCTGAGAAAGAAAAGAATGGTGAGGGTGAGGAGGTGCTAAAGGAGAATCTACTGACTTTTTAAAAAATATTTAGTGCTTTTAAACTAAAGACATTGTTTAAAGTTTGCAAATCATTTTCAAATGCATTCAATAGGAAGCCCTTTGAACATAGGTGATGGTTTGGTTGTTCAGCTGGGATCTGGAAATGCTTCTTCCCATTCCTGCCAGTCCAGATAACAGGTTTGCCTGGATTCTGCTCTTCTTGCTCTGCTCTCCCGACAGGCCACAGAAGGGTCTATCTCAGAGCTGGCTTTACCTGATCAGTTCTGAGATCGTCAGGGTGTACCTGGAGGAGGCTGGAGGGTTTCCTGCAAAGCTGGTGCTTGTCTTCTACCCACAAATGACTTAACTGATTCCCACATGACCTTCTTCCCCTCTAAAAAAAGGAAGACGGAGGAAACAAAAGGGCAAGGTCAAGGGTAGATCACCTTATGGAGCAGTGACTTTTATATGTCTTGTTTATTATTATTATATCCACAGTAGCAAGGTCAGTGCCTAGTACACCACAGGCACCTCATAAAAATTTGTTAAATAAAATCAGTGTAATTCTTACAATAATACTAGGAGAAATGAATTAACCCCAACTTATTAAGGAAGCTCTGGTTAGTGGGAAACAATGGGATTTGAACCTAGGCGTAGGTCTTTCCACTGCATTACATGTCTTAGAAACCCCTCCTCATCCCCCACCAAATCCAAGTTATTTCAAGAGATCTCTTGAATACATAGTTTTTCTATGCCACAAATTAAGTGATCTCTAGGCAAAAATGTACAGATAATCCACTACATGCCAAAGTGGACAACCAAATAGTCTGGGTTTTAATAGACACTTCAGGAATCCTCTTGCTCAACTTCCCATCTGATGAGGAAGAAAATATATTTTAGGACTGTACACAACCCCTGGCACACAGTTTTGTGCTTAAGAAATATTCATTCTTCACAATGAAAAGGGCTCATGGTAGACTGTGGTCTCAGCCTTGGCCAGAGCACTTTCACTTGCTATGTTACAACTTTATATGGTGTTCTATTCTAAGAAGGACTAGTTCCCCCTTGGAATGTAAACATCATGAAATCAGTGACTTTGTTCTATTCAATGATGTATTCCTACTGTTAGAGGAGGATCTTCAACATGGTAGATGCTAAAAAAAAGTCTACATTTTAAATATATGGATGAATGAATAAATCATCGTTGGAAAGGTATTAGAAACAGTACCTTATTAGAAACAGTAGTTATCAAGAAGTGGATTGGGAATTCAGAGGAAGAGCTGACACCCCAGCACGGCAGGCGGTCCCTAGAGGAGTCATTTGAAGTCATGTGACTTCAAATGTAGATGAATGGTTTCCAAGCTGTGGTCTGGGTTCTCCGTGAGAGCAGCCTTGGTCTGGCCCAAATGACACTTGTAGGATGAGCTTGTACCTGCACAAAATTTATGGACAGCATAAGGAAAGGTGAGCCAATGTTGTAAATACACCAATCACATTTTCAAAAGGTAAGATGGTTTGTGGTGTCCTTCCTCTTCCTCTCTCTCTGTTTCCCATTCCCATTCTACAGAGACCCCTGATTTGTAGCCAATCAACCCTTATCTCTGCAGCACGAATTTGTACAAAATCAGGTCATCAAGGAATCCAGAAGATGAACATTGAGAAGAAAAATGTATTCCAATTGACCTTGTGCCCAGGTGGGGGATAATATTTTTGGCATTTTTTTTTTTTTTTGGCAGCTAATTCTTAATGAGGAAACAAAATGGGGAAGTAGAAAAAATTTAATACCTTTCATTTTTTTTTTTAGAAGGGATAAAATAGTTTTGTGTTATCTCTTATTATCTTTATAAATCCTTCACTGGGTGCAAGTTTCCTACCAAATCTCTGAAAAACATATCACATAACACAAAACCACGAGCTTTCATGATGAAAGAAGAGCATTCAGTGCACTGCAAGCCCACCCCCACCTCAATACTTACTACTGGTTCACAAAAGATGGGTTGTGGTTCATGGGTATTTGTTGATCAAAGTTCCCGTCATGCTGACTGAAAGGGTGTTCTGTTTTCAAAGTGATTATTGAGCCACTTTAAAAACACTTTAACTTGTGGGTTTGCCTCATTCTATTTGAGTCCAAATTTCACAATAATGTAATGAAGCAAACCCTGTGCTACTGCCTATGTCATCTTAATTTATCAGGAAACCACAACCTTGCACATCTTTTCCAAGTGACTTTTTTTTGGTTTGTTTGGCCACCATAGCCATGTCCAGAGCTGTTTGGACTCTTCCTGGCTTGGTGCTTGGCCTGGGTACCAGGGTTGAGGAGACACGGCATCAACTCCGCAAGGTTCTGAGTCTCCCTTGGAACCTTTAGAACTGCCTGCTCTCTGTTCCTGATGTCAGGTTTCAGGCACTCCTGTGCTCTTTTGAGTAATCAAGCTTTTATTGTAAAAACCCATTCAAATCTCCAGAGAGCTGTGAAATATTTGTTTCATTTTTTTTTGTCTGCTTCAATGGGTATTTTATGTGAATTGTAAACTTGGGAAACATAAAAAGAAAAAATTAAAAAGAAATATGTAGATTCGGTAAGAATCAGGAAAAAAACAAAAACAAAAAAACCCAGGAACAATGTTTCAGTGAGTACATCATGAATATAGAATTCATTTTACCCAATTTGATATACTCTTCACATTTTCTTTATGATTTGTTCCTGCTGGGATGACTCAACATTTATTTAAACTTTAGATATGATCTTCATGTTACTTAAGCACTACTTTACTTTTAGAATTTTTATTTATTTATTTATTTATTTGTTTATTTATTTATTTATTTTTTGAGACGGAGTTTCACTCATGTTACCCAGGCTGGAGTGCAACGGTGCAATCTCGGCTCACCACAACCTCTGCCTCCCAGGTTCAAGCGATTCTCCTGCCTCAACCTCCCGAGTAGCTGGGATTACAGGCATGCACCACCACGCCCAGGTAATTTTGTATTTTTAGTAGAGATGGGGTTTCTCCATGTTGGTCAGGTTGGTCTCCAACTTCCTACCTCAGGTGATCCACCCACCTCGGCCTCCCAAAGTGCTGGAATTACCAGCATGAGCCACTGAGCCATCCACTTTTAGAATTTTTTAACCATGGGAGGTTGAGGCATGAGACTTGCTTGAACCAGGAAGTTGGAGGTTGCACTGTGGCCTGGCGCTAGAGTGAGACCTATTTTCCAAAAAAAAAAAAAAAAAAAATGTGACCACTTGAAAAGGTGCTTAGTTATACTAAAACTACATTTTAAAAGGAATCTGTTGTTTCTTTTAGGAACATCAATTTGTTTTTATATCTATTTTTATTCTTCTTTTTAATCAATTTTTATTTTAAGTTCCTGGGTACATGTGCAGGTTGTGCTGGTTTGTTACATAGGTAAATGTGTGCCATGGTGGTTTGCTGCACAGATCAACCCAGCCCCTAGATATTAAGCCCAGCATCCCTTAGCTGTTCTTCCTGATGCTCTCTCCACTCCCTCACATCAGGCCCCAGTGTGTTTTGTTCCCCTCCCAGGAGTCAATGTGTCTCATTGAGGAACATCAATATCTAAAATTTTTCTGAGTATTTACAGCCCACAAAATGTAAAGGACCTGAATTCCATTAATGATTTGGTAATATTTATATTTTTTCATAATTTCAAAATGCTATAATTCTAGATATTTAATATTGCTGATGTATTTTATAAAGTTGAACTCAGAAATTTACAGTTTTTTTCTCTTATCTAATTTCTATTAATGATGAAAGAATCAAATTACCCACATTGCAATTGGGAAACATAAAAATACTAAGGACGTAAATAATATCTACGGTACAAAATATTTTAAAGAACAGTTGTTAAGCACGTAATGCAACAGAAAGAGAACCAGACTGAGCTGGGGAAGATTGGGGTCTTCTGTGTGATTCTGGGAAAGTCACCTGACCCCTCTGAACTTGAATCGTTCATTTTATTTCACTTTTTGCCATACCTGCATAAAAATATTTATTTATATTTTTAAATAAACTTTGAGAAACACCCAGCTACATGAACTTTATTTTATTATTTTAAAAATAATTTCTTTAATTGACAAAAAATTGTATTTATGTATGGTATACAAATGTTGTTTTGAGGTGTATATATATGTTAGAATGAATAAATCAAGTTAATTAACATATATATCACCTCACATACTTATTTTTTTTGGTAAGAACACTGAAAATATACTCTTAGAGGTTTTTCAAGTATACAATGCTTGATATTACTTGTGTTTTCCTAATCCTCTCTGTTTTCTTCTGTTCCCTCCTACCTGACTTCTTTTGGATTACATGAATATTTTTTAGTACTCAATTCCAATTTATTAATTGGCCTTTTGACTACATCACTTTGTGTTACTTTTCAGTGATTCAGTGGTTGCTCAGAGAATTGTAAATTACCAATATACAGACCTAACTTTTCAAAGTCTATTTAGAATTAATATTTTACCACTTCAAGTAAAATGTAGAAACCTTGCAAGCAAGTATATTGAGTCCTTTAATCTCCCTTCTTTATGTTATAGTTTTTATATATCTATGTCTACATACATTTAGAACCCTGTGAAATAATGTCATAATTTTTGTTGTCCATAATCATACATGTTTAAATACTTAAAAGCAGAAGATTAGTCTATTTCTCAAGATATTTACCATTTGTGATGCTTTTATTTCATTTGTGAAGTTTCAAGGTTCCCTCTGTTGTCACTTTTCTCCAGCTTGAAAAGCTTCCTTTAGCATTTTCTAAACCACGCCTGCTGATAATGAAATCTAGTTTTCCTTCATCTGAGGCCTTTATTTTTCTTTATTCCTGAATGATAGTTTCAGAATTGACAGTCCTTTTTCTTCTGACACTTTAAAAATGTTGTTATACTCTCCTCTGGCCTCTAAAGTGTCTAATGAGAAATCAGCTATCTTTCTGTTTTTTCCATATGTAATTTGTCATGTTTTCCCTTTCTGGCAGCTTTCACATTTTTTTCTCTATCTTTAGTTTCCAAAAGTTTTAATTTGATGTGTCTGGATGTAGTTTTCTATGAGTTTATCTTGTTTGGGGTTTGCTGGGCTTCTTGAATCTGGGAATGTATGCCTTTCACCATGTTTGGGATGTTTCCAGTCATTGCTTGTACAATATTTTTCTGTACTAATACTTTTCTCTTTTCTAATTATGACTCTATAGACACAAATATTAGATATTTTCCCCAATGGTTCCCGAGGCTGTATTTATTTTATAATGGTTTTTTCTGTCTGTCCTTGGATAATTTGGATGAAGTGAATAATTTATGTTGGCTTACCTGCTAATCCACTGACTCCTTCATCATCCCCATTATATTATTGAGCCTGTCCAGTGAATTATATCAGATATTATTGTTTTCAGATTCTATAACTTTTGTTTCTTTTTTATGCATACCAATAAATGTATGGAAAAATTAAAAAATATATTTTTCCACACATTTATTTAGTGTTCACTTTTACTTTATGGGAGATAGTTATAATAGTTGCTTAAAGTCTTTGCTTAAAACTTCTATTTGTGATCAAGGATACTACTATATTTTGGAAGTTTTTTTAATCTTTTTTTTTTTGAGACAAGGTCTCTCTCTGTCACCCAGGTTGGAGTGCAGTAGTGCAATCATAGCTCACTGCAGCCTGGAAATCCTGTGCTCAAGTGATACTCCTGCCTTAGCCTCCCAAATAGCTGGGACTACAGGTGCCTGCCACCACACCTGGCTATTTTTAAAAATTTTTTGTAGAGATTGGGCCTTGCTTTGTTGCCTAGGCTAATCTTGAACTCCTAGCCTCATGCAGTCCTCCTGCCTCCGCTTCTCAAACTGTGAGA